CTGCCGTTCCTATGTTTTAACAGAATCAGAATCAACGAACTTAGGCGTGCGCAGCGTTATAGAACAGTGCTTTCAAAAAATTGTTCACAAAAAATTCACAGGAGGTCTACTTCAAATGAATGGTATAAAATTGCACTTACATGGAACACTGTCATCCTCACTGGTAGACAGCGATGTTTCGCCGTAAGACACTTGCCTTAGGGCTCTTCAGTACCACTCTGGATAACATTATAGAAAATACACACAATTCATGCATGAATTACGATTTTTCATGTCACGGAATAAGTTTGATCTACTTATGTCATCGATGACATCGTAATGACATTCATTCACATATTTGATCAAATCCCAGCCAAGAGGAATCTTATTTAAATTGAAGGGGTTATACTTTTAGGAGTGAAAGGAGGGAAAGAAAGTTTTTGGCTTTCTACTACTCCATCTTAATACAAAAAAAATTATTAAATCTTCCAAAGAAAGGATGGAAGTAATCAATTTGAAAATAAGTAACTCTATACATGGACATGCAGATCATGAAAAGAAGCAACTTTCAGGCACAAACTGGAAAAAAGCCCTCCTGAAACAGCTACTTTCATATGAACACTGAATTATACAGAAGATACTTTTCTCTACTCACTTTGTATTCACAGGAGTTCTACTTTAAATGAATGGTAACAAATTGCACTTACATGAAACACTGTCATCCTCACTGGAAGACATCGATGTTTCGCCGTAAAACACTTGCCTTAGGGCTCATCAGTACCAACCTGGATATCATTATACGAAAAAGCACACAATTCATTCATGAATCACGATTTTTATGTCACGGAATAAGTGTGATTTAGTTGTGTCATCGATGACATCGTAATGTCATTCATTCCCCTATTTGATTAAATCCCAGCCAACAGGAATATTGTTTAAATAGAGAGGGTTATATTTTTAGAAGTGAATAATTTTTTGTGAAAGAAGGTTTTTGGCTTTCTACTACTCCATCTTGATTCAAAAAACCTGAGAATCTTCCAAAGAAAAGAAGGAAGTAATCAATTTTAAAATAAGTAACTTCATACATCAATGTGTAGATCATGTGAAGAAGTAACTTTCAGACACAAACTGGAAGAAAAAGCCNGAGTGGGATAATCAATTATATATATACAACCAATACAAAATACAACCAAGAGTCGAATAACTGTACATATATCACTAGCTTGAATGTTCTATCAGAAATTCTCCACCCTGAATCAAGCTGCCTTTGAAACTGAGACTCAGGTGCAGAAGTAAAGAAATTGAGGTCCGTTCCATTTGCTGTTTTTATAATAGAAAGGAATGAAGGTACTGATTTTTTGTACAGTGTAGTTGAGAAAATGTAGTATTTCGAGTAAATTTAGGAGAGGCTGAAAGTCCGATCTTTGATAGCAAAAATTTTGAATAATATCTTCAAGTCTTCAGTATCCCTTCTGTTACGGAGTGTTTTGAGATTTAAGAGAATGTAGTTGAGGATAGTTATAAAGTAATTCTGGATTTGAACGCGATCAATTTCAGGAATTTTCTCTGAACTACTTCTAATATGTGGCTTGCATATGATGGGTTCCATACAGAAGATACGTGTTCAAAATGAGATCTGTTAGAAAGCCTAGTATTTTAAGGGATATTAACAGTGGCTGAAATGTAAGTGATCTGTCTAGGAGTGAACATTCTGTAATATTTACTGAGTGGAACTTGATTTATAGTATAAGGAAATGTTGAGAGGATACGTTTACGGCAAAAAAAATGTAATGGCATTTACGTGCATTAAGTTCCATACCGTTGTCAAAACACCAACTCGAAAGTTGGTTCAGCTTGCTCAGGAGTTCTCTGGAGTTGGAAAAGCAGTACTGAATACTGTCCATAAAACATTGTATCAATGATGCTAAATGAAATCCTTGGGGAATGCTACTTTGGATGCAGATTGCTCTGTAATTTTTTATATCAGACTTTTCGCCAGATTTGTATATAGGGGTTATGAAGCTATATTTCTAGAAGTCTCAAAAAATGCTCAGTCCAACACAGTTGTTGAAGATAATATGTACAGTGCTTCAATAATGATGGAGGAATACCATCTGGACCACGACTTTTAGAAGCATTCAAGTTTTTAAATATTTCATAGATTTATTGACAGGCACATATTAAAAACAGATAATAGAGGGGAGTTTACAGGTTCATACTTGGAATATTTTGATAATAAATTTTAATTTGGTTATATTGTGATGAGAGTGGTGTGGCAAATTTGAGATTTTGGGTTTTTCCATACTCATTATTTTAGGACAGCCATTTACAAATCTCATACCAATGTCGGTTTCTCCGTTATCAATCCTTGTTTTCAGTTCGTTCTTCAAAAGCTTCTTCCGCTCACGTTGTTTGATTGTTTACGCTTGAGAAGGCTATTGTGTCGGCCAGTTCTATTGAATTATTTAAAAAGATGTTCTGACCTTTGAGTTTGCTTCGATTCCTCATAACGTTATGAACGTCATAGGTAGACTTGAATGTTACTTGCCTCTACCCCTTTTGGAATTATTTTTCCGCATCCTCTGCATGTTGAAGATGGTGGGAGAGAGATCACGATTTCACATAACACATCTTCGACTTTCCCGGTTTCGTCGTCACTTTCTGTCAAATTGAAGACCATCAGATTGCAGGAGCGTCTTTGGCATGCATCATATTTCTTCGGATATTGCGGTGAATTAGACTTGTAGTTACCCAAAGATTTGATTTATTAAACTTCAATTCGTGATTCCTCTACAGCCTTTATGAGTTTTGGGACCTGTCAGAGACCTTCTTGACAGTCTTTGCAGTGAAAGTGAACTTGACGGGAACCCCTGAGATCCGTGACTAGAGTCACGGATTCTCAGTTGCATTGAGACCAGAGAATTTTTTCTGTAAGAATCGATTACAACTATCATAGGCTATAAGGTCTGAATATTCATTATCAGAAGAGTGATGAATATAACAGTTGGCAATAGAAGGCATGGTAAAGGCTTAGAGATTCATTCACACTTAGAATTTGCACGCCACTGGAAATAACTTTCGTGGACGGCTCTTTTTTGCACACTTTGGTTTTGTTCTTGTTTCTCTTGTTCTTGTTTTCGTTCTTTTTTAGGCCCGCACTAGCAATTTTGAACCTTAATCACACATGTTTTGAAAACAAATATGCTGTTCCGATAGGTCCTTTTCAAAAAGATATCTCTCGACTTTTTCGTTCTCATGAATAATTAAGGGATACAACACTGCTCAGAAAGTTGAAAGTTTTGCAATGTTTTTAAGGTTGAGACTTTCCCTTAGCTTAGGTAAGTGAGTGGGTCTATTCGATCCTCCACCTCAACCCGCAAGGGTTTATTGTGGCTCACACCTATTCACACTTGACCAAATAAACCCAGCTCCTTAACGAAGCTAATTAGTTTGTATGGTGAGTGGTTTCTTAGGTTAGATGGTAAGAGTACGGCTCTGCCGAGGATGTTTTTATCGACTTGTGTACGAGGTTCGATTTAATTTAATTTAATCAATATCTGCCTTGGTCGTTGTGGGATCCTGATTAGTCTTGGGTTTGATAATGATATTAGGAACGTTTATTTGGGTAGTCGTATTTGGATTCAAGTTCTGTTCACATTTTGTTGCTTTTGCATAGGTCGTGTTAGAGGTGGAATTATTTCTTAGTTCCTCAAGGCATTTCAGTTTCTCTTGCAAAAGTGTTATAATTTCATTCTTATCTTGTATAATAGTCTCTTTATCTTTCATTATGAGTTTTAAACTATCAATATACTCGTTGTTGCGGCATTTTTTACAGTAGAATTTCAATATTCTTTTTTGTAGGGGTAAACACTTTATTTCTGAAGAGCTCAGTTCAGAACATTCAGTACATACAAGCCTCTTACATGTGTCATAGGCAAAACAGGGGTTTTTCAGTTCTCTTGATGGTTGTTTAATTTCATTACACACAGTACATTCCATTTCTCAAAGGTATTCTTTCAAACTCTACGACCCTGAGCTACAGCTGAGAGTCTAGGCAGGTTTTTATATATCACTTTTTGCTGGGCCAGTTTTTTTTGCGGGTTTTATATGGTGTTTTTATACTTTGTTCATTCAAATTGAGTTGCAGTATACTGCAAATAATTGCAATTGCTGTTTTAGATTCACTGGGTAACACACATATTTGAATAAAGCGAATAGTTCTACACAGTTAGATATAACTTTCAACTTGCTTTGTCAAGTTTTTACTACTAATTCTCGCAAAAATTTGGAGAGCACTTGAATACAGCGGTATCTAGCTCTCATAAATTCTTCCAATCTTTCCGCACACTATTCAATAGCGTAAATTTCCGCTTGAAATACAGTCGCATAGGTTCCTAGGCAGATTGATATCTCTATCATGGATCTGCGACTGAAAACACCTGCACCGGAACCGGTGTTTTTGATCCCTCTGTGGAGCAAAAACTATCTGCTCTTAATATTTCCTTCTCCTGAAGGATCTAGTCCTCTCTACTCGGAAACATTACTTTATAAGGCAGTTCGTAGTTGACAGTTGTAGGCATAGAGTCAGAGGTCATTTTCAGAATGATGTGACTTCCAGTTCCAGTGGCAACCAACAGTCTATTGCACTCTGCATTATTTTGATTTGTGCAATTGGCAATGTGCACAAGTCTATATGCAGTGCATTTAGCCTCTCTCTCCAGAAAAATGTGGAGAGTAGGTAAATCTAGCAGGATATCCATGGCGGCTGACGGTGTGGTACTGATGGCTAGACAAGTCTGTCTCTGTAAGCCAGAGAGCTTTGCCTGGGCCGTCTTCTGTAAAGCCTGCGGCCACCAAACAATTGCATCATAATTAATCATTGGTCTCACAATCATCACATAAATCCAATGGATTTGTTTGGGACCTGAACCCCAAGTTTTACCACAAATCCTTCGACTTCGTTTCCCTTAGAACGAAATTCTATTTTATTTTTGGGAGATTGAAAAATATCCACTCATGAATCACTTTAGAAGTTTAATAAAATACCAAATGTCATAAAAATATTTCTATCACATTATTCTGAACAAAATAAAATATCCAAAATAGAAATGCTGCTTTCCTATCATGCATTCCGAAAAAATTTCAGAGAATTATTGAGAATTTGACTGGTATTGAATTCTCATACCAGTTTGGATACGGATTTCATGTAACTCCTTCACACTTATTGAAATGTAGCCTAATAAGGAAGTTTAATATTTTTAAAATGTCACAAAATTACAAAAAGTGTCATTTGTCGTGAATCAGCGAATTTTTCTCTCATTTTTACAATTTCAAATAAAGCTTGATATTCACTTAGTAGCAAGAAAAAAAGTGAAATATAGATCTCTTTCTCTTTGTGTTGTTCAACAATTTCGAATCGTCCGTACCAAGTCTTCAGTGAGAAGATTTGTAGGGGTTTCACGTTAAGCAGAGTGTTGCTGACTTCATTACAGCTGTGTTCCTGCCTCTCCATTTACTTCATCGATCACATCAGAAGTATCTTCATCTACTAGCTCTGTCACTACCTTCAGTCCTGGATACGATTTCACTACTGCTTCATGTACTTTGCGCAACTAGAAAGATAAACAATGTAACTTTTCAGATACGAAATAATTTGAATCGTTAGGATGTAATTTTTTTTCATTAGAATTCAGGAAATAAAAAACTGTAGAATAACCCTTTGTCACTTTTTGTCATGTATGTATTATTTTTCCTAGTCGAATGTTGCGCACACACACACACACACACACTTGCACACATATTTTCAAACGAATACAATAAACAATTTTTTCATAGGACGTTTGAAGATTTTCTAATAGGACGAAACTGCAGTAAAGTTATTCACAAATACAAGTGATGAAAAAACAACATAGAAAATTTAATTTTTCATTTTTCATGATGATCTCCTACCATGAAGTAACGGCTACGTCCATCAATTTACATTAATAGTTTTGTAAAACTAACTGTTACAACTATGCTCCCTCAGCTTTAAAGTGAGTGCTCTTGAAAGCTAATCTATTGAATTATGAATGTTTTTCAAATGAACTGCATGAATCGAACCTCTTTCTCTTTTAGGATCAACAAAAATGTATGTATCATAGATAAATGCTTTCTACATCAGAAAAGAACCCTCAAATAATGAGAGGAATTTCCTGGTTTCCACTTCAATTGCGGACGGAGTAGGATAGGCTCCTAACAATGAAAGGTCTCCCGGTTCACATTTAAGGTGTTTTCTGACGGTTAATCACATTCAAGCGTGTATTCAAAAACCTCAGAGTGATAATAAGACATAGTTGCCATGCTTATACCAATACAATACATGTATTTCGAAACGGGTATCGTACTATCCTTTTCTGTACCCCTAGATACTAATTTTTAATGAAATCACAGAATAATATCAAACCTCAATCGTAATTATAAATATTAATGATTTCTAATAAAAAATTCTTTATATCAGACTTCACAAACCGTACCGCTTGTTAATCAAATATGAGAAATTTCTTCATCTGATTTTATGAAGCAAAGTTCATTACTTTTGAAATTAACATTTATCATTGTTATGAATTAGTTCATTTGAAATAATTTGATTTTGACCCAGTAAATCATGCGCTTTATTATAAAGCCATACATAAATAAAAATCTAGTAAGTGGTAGAAAAACTGGCCCCATTTCCATAATCATTAATAATAAATCAGATTTCCTGTAGGAATTAATTGCCTTCCGGATACCTTACGGAACAATATATTACCCTGATTCCCTTAGCATTCAGAACTTCTTTCCATATTTCATTCGTGAAGTGGGTACCTTGATCACTCGATATCGCTGTGGAAAAGTCATATCTGTGGAAAAATCATTGGTTAAATGATTCATGATGGCCCGAGTCGTGGTTGCTTTTTTCAGAGCATAAAATGTGACAAATTTTTTAGATACATCCAGTACTACTACTGAAGCAGCCCCCCCTACTTTTTGAAATCGTCCCGTATAAATCGATTGCTACTCATTCATTTCTACTGGTTGCAATAATTAACTAAAGCGTACTTTGCTTTTTGACATATGTCACAGCTCCGTATACTTTTTCTCGCGTCTTTATTCATGTTATTTCATCAAACTTCTCCTTGCAAAGCCTTCCAAGTCTTGAATGAACCGTGAATGACCCGTGAAAAACCTTGATAAATTCGAAAGTCATTTTTTTGTATACATAATCTACTAAACTCATCATGACGGCGAAGATAAAGTTATTTGATGTGTAGAACGAATGTCCTTCATAAAGAAAAGTCGCCTGGTACGTTATTTATTATTTTACCAAATTTTTCATTCGATTTTTGATGACCGATATCTTTGAGTATTTTCTGAAATTCAATAGGACGTTTCAGCAATGATAATATCTTGAATATTTCATCTGCCGGAGCTTTTCCAGGAATATGCTTCATTTCAAAATCATCACAAGAGGTAACCCAGTGAAAAACTCTCTCCGCGGCAAGTATTAGTACAAACTTCGACAGATATGGTCATCGAAACTGTCAAGAAAAAACAAAGTTGTTGCTACAAATAGTATTGCCGTTTCGATCGAATTCTACTCCCTTAGTAATGAAGTGGACTCGAGAGGAGCTACATCAACTCGAAGTGGAGACATCCATTAGCATCGTTCTATGGCTATTCTCTCCCTAATGACGGGGGTTATCATCCATGGCTCATTGCATTTGCTTATGGCACATGATTCTTGGACCCATTGATCACTCACCTCACAGAGTAGGGAGTGATAATTGGTTGACCACGCCTGTGCGCTCCACAAATATCTCGGAGTTTCAGATCAGGGCCCGATCAGCTCAGAGCCCGATCAGCACAGCCCTTTTGGTAAAAAGAATAATGATAACGTTCATCTGTATTCCGTTCTCAGTGGTTCTCAGGCGCAGCATCAGGTATCAATACACTAGGCAGCATCAATGGACACACAGTAATCCAGCGGTCTCTGTGATCTAGAGAAAAGTGGTAACCGGAAAGGTAACCACAAGCTTCTTCACATATTCATTACTATTCTGGAAATAGACTGGAAATAGTATGAGAACTCGAACACAAGCACCTTTTCCAATAATCAGGAATCTTTAGGAAATGGCTATTCTCTCCCTAATGACGGGGGTTATCATCCATGGCTCATTGCATTTGCTTATGGCACATGATTCTTGGACCCATTGATCACTCACCTCATAGAGTAGGGAGTGATAATTGGTTGACCACGTCTGTGCGCTCCACAAATATCTCGGAGTTTCAGATCAGGGCCCGATCAGCTCAGAGCCCGATCAGCACAGCCCTTTTGGTAGAAAGAATAATGATAACGTTCATCTGTATTCCGTTCTCAGTGGTTCTCAGGCGCAGCATCAGGTATCAATACACTAGGCAGCGTCAATGGACACACAGTAATCCAGCGGTCTCTGTGATCTAGAGAAAAGTGGTAACCGGAAAGGTAACCACAAGCTTCTTCACATATTGATTACTATTCTGGAAATAGACTGGAAATAGTATGAGAACTCGAACACAAGCACCTTTTCCAATAATCAGGAATCTTTAGGAACGTCTTTAGCGTCTTTAGGAGATGAAGAAAACTAATTCGTAACTAGAAAACTGGTCCCTATTTATATCTAACAGGGGTCACTTGCACTTTCTGATACACATCAATGATTTTGGGTAGGAATTTGCAGAAAATTTTCTCGTGAAAGTTACCGCAAAATTCAAGTGATTCATAAAAAAGAATACAAGGAATAAAATACAGAGGACTTTGTTTCAACTTCCAACCACAAAATTCCAAATATTAAAAACGAGGAGTTACCGTCCTTTGATATTTCAATAACTAGGAGTAATCAGGATCTAGAATTTGTCAACAGAATGAAATATATATTACGGAAAGCTCACACAATTGTCTAGAGTGAAATGGCAGGTCACAGGCTAAAATTTTCTTGCACTTCTGTTTGAACCATGATAAACTAACGGATTGGATTGTATTCTTCAAAACTTCTTGCTCACTCACAGAAAATGTAGCACATATCCGATTCCAAAGGCCAAAATAAATATAATGTTACGCCACACACTTTGGAGAACGGCCATAGAATAAATGAAAACTGTCTGAAGTTATTAAAATCGGTACTCGACACTAGATTTTAAATGCTTTCGAAAGTCTGGAAATAGCAAAGTGTGGCATGAGAATTTTCAACAGTGACTGAGGTCACATTCCCAACAGCTCATTGCATTCCTTTTCATCAATCACTCTCTTGAAATTTGCGAGAATTTCCACGAGGAAATTTCTACCCGAAATCCTTGATGTGCAGCGCAATCTGTTGAAATTTTCGAAAACTTTCATAAAGAAAATATCCAGCAAATTTCTATCCGTAATCATTGATGTGAATCAAAAGATGGAAGTGTACCCTGTTAGATATAAATAGAGACCAGTTTCAAACTTTAGAAATTATCTATGATACATACATTTTTGTTGATCCTAAAAGAGAAAGAGGTTCGATTCATGCAGTTCATTTGATAGAAATTCATATTCCAATAGATTAGCTTTCAAGTTTTGGAGCACTCACTTCAAAGCTGAGGGAGCATGGTTGTAACAGTTAGTTTTACAAAACTATTAATGTAAATTGATGGACGTAGCCGTTATTACGTGGTAGGAGATCATCATGAAAAAGGAAAAATGAAATTTTGTATATTTTTTTATCACTTGAATTCGTAACTAACGTTACTGCACACACATTTTCAAACGAATATAATAAACATTTTTTTACAGGTCGTTTGAAGATGTTCTAATGGGACGAAACTGCAGTAAAGTTATTTACAAATACAAGTGATGAAAAAACAACATGAAAAGTTTCATTTCTCATTTATTGAAATATCAAAGTATTATCTGATTTTGGCTCTATCAAGTTCAACTTCGGAAATTATGTGTACCTACACCTTTTTTTGAGTTCCACTACACCATTCTGTGGATAATGCATGTCAATCATAATATTTTAACATGATAATTGAAATTTGGAATCACTGGTGTATAGTTATAGTTGAAAAACTCTCTTCTAACCAGAACTGAAATGATGTTTGATGAGTTTTGATAACCATGCTAGCATCATCAAAAAATGGAAAAATTTAAAGTTAGGTCTATGAACGGTAATTAAGGTCCCATTCCTATCAACCCATTGTCCGCACTCTCAAGTTATTATAAGTAGAAAATAGGTGAATATTAGGTATCAGTCAAGTAGTAAATAACAATAGAAATAATACTAGCAATTAATTTAATGACCCTTATTATGTAAGGTGATGATTCGACTAGATACGTTCGAAAATCATAACAAGCTGTTGAAAGTAAATCAAGTTATCTAATGATACTTATGATGCACTGTTTGGAACCTTTGGTGTAGTAATGAACATTACTGAAGTTTTAATCTTCCTCTTTGAAGATAATCACTTGGTGATCGAAAAACGTGTCGAGGTGTTAAAAATAACGATTTGGTGTTAGGGAAAAAAACTCCAGTAATATGCTTTATTTATTGATGTTAATTTGTTTGGCGAAATGCTCATCGGGAGACAGCTTTTTTTTGTTGAGAAAAAGTGTTTTTCAATAGATTATATTCAGACACCCTTTACCCTTATCTGAAGTCTGTACCATATTGCTGATTGCTTGTTGAGATATTTCAGAGGAATGATTGCTGACCATGTGAGTGGATAAAATGGCACAAAGTTCGACGGTACCGTAATTATGCTTATCCTCACTCAGGCGACCGCCAACATCACAACCCCCTCACTACCTCTTGAAGAAAAATTCTTATTCTTATCAATGTATGATAACGCATGTGTCCAAATCATCGTAAATTCGGCTGAAAGCAGACCAATGACCTTTCTGCCCATTTACCGAAGGATAATTTCAGATATATCATTATTCCAAATTTTTCACATATAATCAGTGGGCATACTTGAAGACTAGCTATAAATCAAATCATCTAGAGAAACATTTCGTTCAGGCCAGCTTCAACTACCTACACTGTAGGTTAATGGACTGACACCTATCAGAAAACAACTACCCCTCTGGCTAATACCACGAAGGGCGTTGGATTATATCTGTTGGAATTTATCTGTTACATCTATGTGTCAGTGCAGGATTCTTCACTGAAGTTATTTCTGCATATGCTGTTGGCGATACAACTGCCGCAATAGATTTTCAATATCCTTCAGAGTATCATTCCTCCAACTAGGTGGAAGCGGACAACAAACAACAAGTTTGTTATCGCCCATTGAACTACACTGTAGGGAGTTGAGACTGACCTGAAAGAATTGTTCTTTCAGATGATTTGATTATTCCAAATGTTTAATTTTTTATAACTTGGTTATATTTATAATGTAGTGTTGGCCTGATTTCATATCAGTTCAATCACAGAAGGCGTGAGTTCAACAGCACCTAGCACCTGAAAACGCGAAAATGATCTAGTAGAGTAACTAAATTGAATGTTGAGGAATTTCATGGTTGTACAACAGTTTACGAGCATCAGTTTTCTTCTGTCAATATACCTATGAATTATATCTTTGATTAAAATTTCACTCTGCCCTGTTTTTGAATACCATGTAAAATCATTTCTACGACTTTACCTTCTCATTATCTTCCCCAGTTTTTTCCTTTATATCAACTGTGCTGAACTGAAAATCGGCAACACGTAACAGCCTTGAAATAGTAAGACACATTTGGGCTGCCCACAATACAACTCCGAAAATGTATGTATACCTGCAGATAATGTAGTTTTGCCAAAATTTGTAGAATGACATGTTTCTACCCAATAAAAAATAGTCCATAGAAGAGGTGCACCTGAAAAATTAAGAACAATTAATTTGAAATTATGCATCAGGACATGAAGATGTTAAAATGTATCCATACTGTTTTTCAGGGCCAGATTTAAGGGAGTGTAGGCGGGGCTACTGCCCCGGGACCTTAATAAAGATAAAAAAAATTCAAATTTTCACGGACCAGCAACTTTAACGTTTTTTTATACGAACATTTTTTTGCATTTTTACTAAGAATACTTGCACAGACATAATAGTATTGCGTTATCAATGAGGAAGCTCTCATTGAAAATTTCCATTTACTATCAATTTTTTATTTAATCGAGCATTTCAGTGGCAATACTTTTTTTAATGTGTAATTTGTAACCATGAGTTGAAGGCAAATACAATAAGTACAGAGAATAGAGAAAACGGTTGATCTCACAGGAAATTTTTAAACGACACTCTCTAATTAAACACGCTAATTTTTGCCCGCTTCCCAAATTTTTAACATTTGTAATTTTCTTAGCGGGTAGTCAAAAATTCAAATTGTATAGAAATTGTTAAGGAGCACATTGCATTCCTTTTTTCTTATATTAATGCAGTCAAGCTGTTGGAAAATAGTTCCATGACAATCAAAAGATAAATAGATGGGTACTCTTCTGATCATTCATATACTCCTATTGATTTCAATTTAAGAGCCACCGGTAGACAGCTGTTTCAACCTGTTGGGCTTCGTCAGTACCCAGCAGGTGGTCCTCGATTGAAGACAAAATGTGAATAACCAAGAAAAGTACTTAAATATTATTGGGGTTTTTTCCCAACACCAAACCGTAATTTCAACACCTCGACACGTGTTTCGATCACCAAGTGATGATCTTCAAGAGGAAGATTAAACTACATATACTTACAATGTTATCCTCATTTATACCACAGATACCTCTTCCAGGTACTTGCTTCTTGAGCGTCTTAAATTAATTTGACAATATTGCCTCTTCTACTAGTCTTAAATTAATTTCACAATGTGTCCTTATGTAATAGTCAGGTGAAAGCTGTATTCATTTATCAGATTGCATAAAGTTGAAAATAGAGAAAAGCAGCAATACATATTGACTCATCCACAAAAAATATCGTTCAAAGAATTTTTTGGCTCAACTCAACCTCATAAGTAGCCACAGTTCAAACTTTCTCGTGGTATTGTTCAATAATAAATGATAATCGCCACCTAACATTTTTTATTCTACCACTTTTAAGAGTAGTATTCTGAGATCGTCACACCGTGCCCAAACTTTTCCATTCGAGAAATTATAACCATAGTTGCTCGAGATGAATTATTCACAATTGAAAAACACATTTTTTCAAATTTCTGTTAGCTATAATATTTATCTACCTACTCGTCTGTCTGCCGACACGGTTTTATTTCGTGAATCGGATACCTTTCGAATTTTCAAAATTATTTTTTAACCTTTTCACCATTGAGAATCTGATGTTTTNGGATCCCTGGGGAACTCCAGATTTCAAAGTGAGGTATTGAGAGCAGTTGCTATTGATGTTGACTTTCTGTTGCCTTTCACTGAGATATTCACGCAATAGTGATATCGCTCTATCTGAAAGCCCTAAGTGATGGAAAATAACTAGTAATAAGTCGTGGTTTATGGTATCAAAAACCTTACTTAATTCGAGCAATACCAGTGCCGTACATGAACCTCGATCTTTATCCCTAAATTCATCATCTACGACATGTAGAAGAGCTGTTGTGCAGCTGTATACCTTCCTGAATTCAGATTGAGTTACTGGTAACAGTGAGTATTTACTTAGAGGATTCCGTAACTGTGTATCCATTGCTCGTCTTTGATAGAGCTGGAAGAATACTCAATCCTCTCAGATCCTTATATTCCACTGGATTACGTTTTTTTTGGTACAACTCTCACAACTGCTCTTCTCCACGCATCTGGTATAATATTTCCTGACAGACAGCAATCAACAACATGTGTAATTTATGGAATAATGTGTGGACAGCAGAGTTTTATCATCGTCATATTGAGATTGTCGCACTAGCAGCATTGGTTTTGATACTACAAAAAGTTTCATACACAAAAAGATCATTAACTTCCTCAAATGTAAATTTTGAGTTGGTCAGGCAGTTGGTACTATAAAAATTTAAAAGATCGGGGAAAGGGTTGCATAATGGAATTGAATTTATCAAATAATAATTTATTATATCAGCATCTTGTAGATTTTCAGGTAAGTCATTGGATTTATTAGGCAACAATGCACTGTTGAACAGAATACACATTTTTTCCCGTCTCACCGCCTTATTTGTTTAGTTGCGCATATCTTTGTAAAGTTGAAGGTATACTTCAGACTACGTTCGTTTGAATTTATTTAGTGCATTATCACGAGTTTTCCTAATTTCTTTTAAATTATAAGTTAGCCAAGGAGCAGCAAGTTCACAAGATAAGAAACTTTTGTGTCAATATCATTTTGATCATATATTCTGAAGAATGGTATATTAATAAGGTCATTTTGAAAGAGTTGTTCATTAAAGTGTTTGAAACTTCTGTATGTATGAAATTTAGGTCCCTGTTTCCCGCTGTGTTTTTTTATCTCGCAATAGACAAGCATGTGGTCAGAAATTCCACTTGTGTCATTTACCCCCACTCTAACCCCTCTTTGGTAATAGTAATTATCACTAGTTTACTAGAAGGAAAGATGTTGTTTCGGTTATTCTTGTTGGAGTATCCACAACTTGATACATATTGAATGATTCCAGAATAGTTGAGAACCTCCCCACATTCGAAGAAATCACATCTAACACATTAATATTCAAATCCCCCATGTATATTAATTCATGAGTAATTGGGAAAATTGAGCCGATGGTATTTTCAAATTCCTCCATAAATTCATTATTATCTTGACGTTTGACCTTTTGTTCTATGGTTATCTTCAACCACGATTTTTCATAGCTAGACTGGCCTGCAGGGGTACTGATAGCTGATTTTTCAATTCTTTTTTGCAATAGATACAGACACCTCCCCCTCTTCCATTAATTCTATCGGCCCTATATAATGTATATCCCTTCATATTAACAACAGTATCAGTTATTTGAGTGCTGAGCCAGGATTCACAAATTGATACTAGATCAAAAGATTGATCATATATCAACAGTTTGACATCATTCACAGAGGTTACCAAAGATCTGACATTCAGACTAACTATTTTCAATATTTTCATATTTATACAGGGTGTTGATTAAGTATCTACCATAAATTTAACAGACGATCCTTTAGGTAATTTTAAGATGAAATGTTTATATAAACATGGGTCCGCAAATCCTTGGTTCTCAAGATACAGGGTGTTATTTTTATGACAATTATAAATTATGAGCCAATAAAGTTGACAACAACTGTCAAGTTGTTTATTAAATGCTGCAATCGTTTTCCAAGGCAACCCTTGATTATTATTTATGGTATTTTCAGAAGAGTGCGAAATTCAATGATGCGGCGGCTAGACGGTTGTATTGAAGCCGAAGGAGGCCACTTCCAACACTTAATTTAGTGCAATTAGTTAGTCTAGATGTTATTTGATATTTGTTGTTATTGGTACATGATTAGTAATGAAAAATTGTAAAAATAATAATTTCCAAAAGAAACATTTGATTCTTCATTTTATTCCTTGTGAGGTCCAGGGATATGCAATTAGGTCGATTTTTTTTTCTTAAAAACTAAGCAAGATACGAAAAAAATTCAAGAGAAAAAAAAGTTGTATTTCTAATTGCTCAATCCAAAGAAATAATAGAAATTGCACAAAAGTCAGTGGCGTACATTTTTAAGTCAAAAATATTCGTTCAAATCCCGCCCGAGACGCCACTGGACTTAATGAATTGAATCACGTTCGGGCTAAATCAGCTCCTTAATGTTATGAATACCATTGCCAAATTACAACAAAATTAGGTGAAGGATATTTAGGATATTTACGAATAATTTGTTTTTATTTTAATACCCTGTATCTTGAGAACGAAGGACTTGCGGATCCATATTTATATGAACATTTCCTCTCAAAATCACATAAAGAATCGTCTGTTGAATTCATGGTACATACTTAATTAACACCCTGTAGTGTTCAACCAAAACCAGGTGACAAAAATAGATGTGAAATTTAATTAACGTGGATATTTTATATTCACAAAAAAAGTAGGAAAAATTTCTTATTGATAAATAAACAAATAAAAAATAAAGAAAATCTCAAGATTAAATAAATAGGGAGCTTGGGTGAAGTTCAATTGCACAGGTCTGATATATCAGTTAGGGTGTTTGCAGAATGTGGGTATTACAGACAATATTGAAACAATTTAATGATATAAGTAACATGATCTCGCTTGAGAAAAAATATATGATTGTTATGAATAGAAAAAAAAATCGAATTCGCAAGTAATATATTATATGTCGTTTGAATCTTCCTCAGTATTGATCTTACAAATTTCTTCTTCATTATCGAGCTTGACGAATACTCTTCCAGAGTTTGTCCAGTCTCGTCCTACCTTGGTAAGAGCCGCATTGAAAATTTTTATCTGTTCATTGGTAAGGTCTTCTTTCATAGTGATGCCAGTTCTTTTCAACGTTCTTCTATTTTTATATATGAGGTTTTTGATGTAGGATGTTCTGAACCTCAAAAATACTACACTATTTTTATTTGCTGTTGCTGTTCCAATTCTATAGTACTGATCAATATCAGTTTAAGTAATATCCAGTTTCATTATTTTTGTTATTATTTACATGATATTCGCAGTACAGTCCTCGTTTTCTTCCTGTTACACACCATGAATCTTAACATTTTTGCCTCTGTATGCCTGCTCATGTCACTTCAATTTATAATTATTTTTTTTCAGCAATTCGTCTCGATCTTGTAGTTTTTTCTCTAGTTGTTCATTCTTTTGTTTTAAACTCTCATTTTTTTTGCTGAACTTTTCAGTAATATCCTCAAATATTGTTGCCGTAATACTACTAATAAATTCTTCGGAACTGCAAAGCTTAGTTACCAGGTTTTTGATAGCTGTCTGCAGTTCGTCTTCACCCTTTCTATTTCTAACACTATTTCTGCACCAACTGATTTGATAATGAGAGAAACTGAAGTATTGTCACTAGACCCGTATTCACTCCAAAAACTGTATTTTTATTTCTGCTAGTATTGCTGCAATTTTATACCTATGCTGCACTGAGCAATACACGTCTACTCACTTAGGCACATAAAGACATAGTTCCTGAATGATTCAGAATGTTTGACAAGTACTCCCTATTTGATAGTAACCAACTACAAAATTGCTTTTATCACGCTAAAACCCAGAGTTGTTATTAGCAGAAGGATTGAGAAATACTACATGGGCTGAAAAGTCTCGGGCTCAACACATCGATGGCGCTAGTCTTATTGCATTCACCGCTCTTTCAGTTAGTTACTAACCCTCAAAAGAACGTGTTAGTTTTATATTGCATGAACATTCCACTATGTTCTGTTCGAAGTAGGTGCATCACGTGCTCCCTGTTGACCAAAAACAAGAAAGTCTTGTTGATTCTGAGCCGTGTTTGGCTATGTTCAAACAAAACAAATCGGATTTTTTCGCATCGATATGTGACAATGAATAGAACATGGATCCATCACTCCACTACGGAATCAGAACGATTGTCATCTGAGTGGAGAACAACCGTTGAATCTCGTCCAGAGCGCCTGAAAGTACAACAATCGGCTGGAAAGGTTATGGCCTCGGTATTTTATGATGTGCGTGGTTCAATATCCATCGACTATCTTGAAAAGGAGAAAACTATCAACGGCGTCTATTACATAGTGTTATTGGAGCGTTTGAAGAACGATATCGCAGAAAAACGAACCCATTCGAAGGAAAAGAAACTGCTGTTTCTTGAATACAATGCACCGTGCCACAAGTCAATTAAAACGATAGCAAAATTGCATGAATTTGGGTTCGAATTGCTTTTTCATCCAGCATATTCTCTAGATCTGACCCCCTAGCGACTACTGGCTATTCGAACACCTCAAAGAAATTATTTCTGGTAGTAAATTCTGCTCGAATGAAGAGATTATTGCTGACACTAAGACCTATTTTGAAGCAAAAGATAAATCGTTCTACAACAGTAGTATTGAAATGTTAGAGGGACGCTGGAATGATTACGTGGCTCTCGATGGAGATTATGAAAACAAAACCGTTTCCTCTCTTAGGTCTGGGACTTTTCAGCCCAGGTGTTGAGTTGGACATGTTGGATGTCTGAACGGAAAACTCATAACATAAGGTAGGTATCATGAATAGAACATGGACCCGATATGAGCGAATGACTATTTAAATAATTATACATACTCCGTTTCTCCAGTGAAAGCCTCAAAATGTGCACAAAATGACTCCAGGCCATCGGTAACTGTAATTGCAGTAATCAAACTCAAGAGAGTCATCAGAGCTGATGTGAAAATTACCGGGTAAACAAACGACCAAGATCCAGGCAATCTGAAAAAAAAACAATTGAATGCCAAATTTCATTCTAGAACAATGAAAAACTTCAAATTTGCGATTCGCACACACTGATTTTAGACAAAAGAACTGCAATACTTCCACCTTGGAGTCATCAGGAAATTGATTATAGAGTATTTTTGTTTTGGTGTGTTCATATTAAATCCATTCCCACTGAGGATACATTAGAAAAACACACTTTTGTCTATTTTCCACGATAGTTCTATATTTGTTGATTAGTGTCGGTCATTACACCAATTCCAAAACTAACTAGATTACATTTAAATCTGAGTAATCTATACTAACGTTGCCTATCCTATCATAACAAGAGAGTCATCAGAGCTGATGTGAAAATTACCGGGTAAACAAACGACCAAGATCCAGGCAATCTGAAAAAAAAACAATTGAATGCCAAATTTCGTTCTAGAACAATGAACAACTTCAAATTTGCGATTCGCACACACTGATTTTAGACACAAGAACTGCAATACTTCCACCTTGGAGTCATCAGGAAATTGATTATAGAGTGTTTTTGTTTTGGTGTGTTCATATTAAATCCATTCCCGCTGTGGATACATTAGAAAAACACAGTTCTGTCTATTTTCCACGATAGTTCTATATTTGTTGACTAGTTTCCGTCATTACACCAATTTCAAAACTAACTAGATTACATTTGAATCTGAGTAATCTATACCTACTAACGTTGCCTATCCTTTCATTAATAATTTGGTACCTACATTGTCTATACCTGGAATATCGATGAACATAACAAAACAAAACTTTTGTTATATTAATAATAATAATAATAATAGGTTATTTATTTAAGATCCAAATACAAATACAAATGAGAAGTACAAATTGAAGGTTCAAATAAACAACGAGATGCTCGATAAGTAAGTGAATACTTGTTTCGAAATAAAAATTTGGTGTGAATGGGCATATACATACATACATTGAAATAGTCAAACAAAAACATAGAATGAATAACATATAAAGGTATTTCAATCATAAATGTAATCAAACATGTACAGCTATTTTAATTTGTTATTATACTTAAAATAAAATAAAATTAAAGATCAAACACTATAATATATCAATCGTTTGTACTCCTGCTTGATAAGAGTTAGACATATGTATTCAAAATTGTGTTCAGTTTACATTTTCCTTGGAATAAAAATATGAAAACAAATAGTATAATACAGTAGGTAACACAATTTTCCATATCATATCAAACTTTTGAATAGTTCAGTTCAATACAATATATCAATAATCTATATACCTGTTTGCTAATTGTAGTTTTTTAATAATATAAGTGATATGGTGATTTCACTTCAAATGAAAATCGAAGAAGACGCCCAAATATTTGATTTTTACTACTGATTGAATTTTGATGGGTAGACCTTGAATGTTGACCTCTAAATTGTTAAAGGGAATGTGTTTTGATTTGTTGCACGTGAATGTCATGTAATTCGTTTTTTCTAAATTTACTGTAAGGAGTTTGTGTTCTAACCAGGTTTTAATACNCTTCAAAATTCGAAACATAAAATAAATAAAGATAATTTAAAAATCCTCCAAACATGCGAAAAAGGGAAAATGGTGAATCTATGGAAGTAAACAAGTCAAAGAAAAATCCCAATTCTATTATTCTCAACGAACAACTTGATCTAAACAATAGTCCTCTCCTTAACCTATAACCCAGTTCCCAAAACCTACATTATAGACAATGTAGGTACCAAATTATTCATGATCAGATGGCAACGTAGGTATAAATTACTCAGATTTAAATGTAATATAGTTACTTTTGAAATTGGTGTAATGACCGACACTAGTCAACAACAGGAAAATAGACAAAAGTGTGTTTTTGTAGTGTATCCTCAGTAAACAAGAATTTCCACAAAATAAACAAGTTGTCAATCAAAGAAGTAAATCCATTCTACTAGGGTTCCAGTTAAAGCTCACAGTATTTTTCAAATTCGAAGTGAACTGTAGTATTACGTTATTTTTGGTAATTAACTGATCTGAAGTGTGTGCTAATCACACTTGAGATCAATTCTGATCACATTAGTGATTTATAAATATTTACAGAATATACATGTTTTTTATGCCTTAGCAAATGAATTTCTGATCATCCGATTCTTGATAATTCTTTTCAGGATCAGTTTTGTTCAGTCAATTGAGAACCAACTCGAATGACTTTTTTTATTTTTTGGCCAGACTTTTCCACTTCAATTCATTTTTCAATTTGATCAAATCAATATTTCAACTTCTGATTTTGTCTTTGATCAATTTATCAACTGCCACACTGTAATAAAGTATAGAAACAATCATAAATTATTGGTAGCAATAAAAAATATACTTGAATGAATTGGCTTACACATCTGATTCATATCCTCTCCCGCCTTTTCCGCAAAGAATCGCTATAACTCCCAAGGCAGCAGCAATGACCAGAGACGAAAGCGGAATGAAGAGGATAAAATCACAAGTGATCGTCTTCCCAAACACCGTACCCATGAATTCCATACTGATCTTTCCCGACAAAGTCCCATTATCAAACCAAAATCGCCTTTCCGATATAAACGTTTTGTTTTTGTATGAAAGTTTTTCAAGCTTGGATAAGTCCAAAACCAACATTTTTTGTTCTTCACTCGATAACGTAGAATCAGTCTGATTCATGTCGAGAATCGCCTCTATTGTAATATCGTCGATAGTTACATTTCGAGTTGAAGTTTCTCGGTTTGTCACTTCTCGTAGTTTTAGGTTGGGTGTTGCGTACAGTACACAGCGACGACCAAAAATTTTTGAGATGTTTCCATATCCATATGAGGATATTAGTGAGTTGATGGCTGTTAGCAGAAATATCGACACATGGAGAACTGAAAAATAGAATTAATCAAATGCAAAAACAAAAAATAAAAACATGTCTGAAAAGTGTCTCATAAACGAAATATTATCAAACAGATTCAAATTATACAATGCATTCATAAAGCAAGTAATCAGATTTATGAAAATACAAATGAACAGTTCAAGAAAAAGAGCATCAATGAATCATGCTCGTGTAGATGTGATCTACATTTAGATATTAGGATATGCTGCCACTGACATTACTTTGCTTGATCCATCAATAACATCCCTCGTTTTTTCGAAATGACTTCCAGAACGAATAATGATTTAAAAAAAATTCATTAAAAACAATAAAGTATATAAGTTGACTCGTGGTTTTTGCAAAAACTTTATATTGGACAAACTGGGAAAAACTGTTTCCAAAAAGTGGATGAACATGGGAGTAGTTTTTCGAATTTAAAGATCAATGCCACATTAGCAAATCATCTTTTGGTAGAGAAACATGAGTTCAACCACGATTATGACGTATTATTACATTTGGAAGAGAAAGGTTTGAAACTCAATCTTTTGAAATGCTTGGAAATTGATAAATTCAAGAATTCCGGTAATTCACTGAATCACCAAAAAGAATTGAATTATTTTCCTCACTTGAATTTGTTTTCTAATATGGAAATTAGTGATTAGTTCATCACATGTCCAATCAATGAGTTGTTTTTTTTCAAAATGCTTAAATTTTTAATTAGTTTATACCTAAACTCTGGTGAAATTGTTAGTCAATAAGTAGGTAGAAGGTCATATTGTCCAAATTGTTTATCATATAAAGCACTATTCATTACTTGGTATAAAACAAAGTCGCTTCCCGCTGTCTGTTCCTATGTATGCTTAGATCTTCAAAACTACGCAAGGGATTTTGATGCGGGTTTGTTTCATAGATTAAGTGACTCAAGAGAAAGGTTTATATCTATATGTTACGGTTAAAATATTTACTTGGCTAGTATATAAACTAGTTGGATAGTATACAAACATCCAACCTCCTGGCTATTTTGATGAAAAATCATATTTTCTNTCTAAGAAAAGGAACTGTGTTTTTCTAATTCATTTGCCAGTTGTGAAAACGACGCAGCGGCATAATTTTGGATCTGTTTTGTTTGCGTAAGTATAGGTGAATAGAACAGCGACTCTGTGTTTGTATAAGTTGAATTTCATCTCAGTTCATTGTTTTTTGTAGCTGCTTTCATTCTGGTATTGGACGCAAACATTAAATCCATACGTACAGAAGAAGAACTGGAAACATTATTATCTTCCAGTAATGACACCGAGGATAAAGTGGAAAAAGAATCACATTCTTCGAATAATTTTGTACCCGATGAAAAATCTACCGTCACCGCGCTTCACCCTACCGGTAAACATTTATATACAGATCACTAATACACTCTTTCTTACAGATACACATACACAAACATAGTTCGCGATCGAAAGACACTTGTCTCCGGTAATGTTAAGGGGACTCTCATGCATACATTGTACTCAGTGAATTCACGATAAACAAAATAACATATTACGAAAGTAAAAGCACCTAAAGGCTGACTTTCGACCGCAAGAGGTCAGATGTAAATCTTGCTGAAGTGTCCATTAGTAGGTTGAGGTTCACTCATAAAACTGGGGCTGGATTTACAAAATGGGATGTTCTGCACACAGTAACCGGTAGGGAATCAAATCAAATCAAATTTTATTGAATCCGTGTTTCTATTATACAATGGATTGGAAGTGTCTGGTGAGGTGTAAAACCCACTGACTACAAAAAAAAGTTACTCCTGAAGTATTAGTTTACAAGTTAAAGATCAATTACATTGACAAAATAGAATGTATACACATACACACATGGACATACTACATTGGTGAGGATGTAACCCTAATATTACTCACCGACACATAAAAACAAGTATACAAGACATGTTGGTATAAATATAAAAAATCATAAAGCACAATAATCACTATGAACTCAGTTAACACTGCTAGAAAGGAAGTCATCAAATTCCCCTAAGCTATAAAAACAATGATTCGTTAAAATTTTCTTCAACCTACTTTTGAAAATTCCGTACGTGTTACTATTTTTTATGCCTTGTGTTGTGGTTGTGATAATCAGAATTTTTTGGCAGTTTATTTCGGTTTCAGTAGATATGGCTCAGTAATTTATATAAGTAAATAGAAGTAACAGTAAGAATTTTTTGGTTTTTGTATACATCGCGACATGAAATTTGATAAGGTAGGTCAAAAATTAATCGCAATATTCTTTTTTGTAATACAAACACCCTTTGGTTATCACGCCCTTGCCCCCATACTATGATACTATAGGAAATCGCAGAGTAAGCATACGAATAATAGACACTCAATAAAGTATCCCTATCTAGCATCGATTTCAAAACAGTCAGTAGATAGAAACATTGATTGATTTTTTTACAGACACTATTAATTTGCGCCTCCCAAGATAGATTACAGTCGAATATGGTTCCGAGAAATTTTGCAGACTTGGATGTACTGATTAAAGTGTTATTTAATAATATTGAGCAATCTGATGGTAATTTTTGAGCTGTATGGTATTCAATGCAAACCGTTTTCGAAACATTCAACATTATTCTATTACGATAGCACCAATCTTTGAATTGGTTTAGTGTTCTGGTAATTTTTTCTGAAAGTGCGAGTTTTGACTGATCTGATATTATTGTGCATGTGTCGTCTACATACATGAGAACTTTTGCTTCAGTTAAATATTTAGGAAGATCGTTAATAAATATGAGAAAAATTAATGGACCAAGGACACTGCCCTGAGGGGTTCCAAGATCCATATCAAATTCATTTGATAAAAAATCATCAATTTTCACTATAATCTTTCGGTTTTCGAGGAAAGAGAACAACATTAAGGCAGCCACGAATACCCACGAATACCCGTGTTAGGAATCACACGTTGAAAGGTAAGACCTCGTTAGTCCTTAGCTCTCACAAGTTTCTCAACTTCTGAAAGTTGTCGTTCGTATGGGGGCGACAGCTGATTAAGGGAAAACAGATTTTAAAACAGACAGACATATTTTTTTTTCTGAGACGAAAGACATTTCGACTGTATCAAATGCCTGTGTTAGGTCGAACAATACTGATACCACATATTCACCATGATCCATTCTTTCAAAAATGCCACACTTGATTCAGTGGAGAAGCCATTTCTGAAACGGTGTTGATTGTTTGTTATTGAATTGAAAGAACTCAAGGTGCGTATTCCCCAAAAAAAGCGAGCACGAGCGAGCATTCGTGTATGTTTGCTCGTGTTCGCTCATGTTCGTTCGTGTTCGCTCGACATATTGATTCCCGTCCATTCCAGAGCGAATATCCTCAAGTTCGTAGTTGTAGTTGATCCATCTACTTTGTAAGAGCACCTTTTGATGTATCGCCTTCTCGATCCTTTCTGAACGCGAACAAGCATACGTTCGCTCGCTCGCTAGCCCGTACTCACCAGACGATTTTATTGATGCAGAATGTTCGCTCGTGCTTGCTTTTTTGTGAATACGCACCTTCTCAGATACGCTTCCATTCTTCGAGAAACCACTTTTTCAATTATTTTAGAGAAAATACTAAGTAATGAAATTGGTTGGTAGTTTTTAACATTACTAGGATCACCCTTTTTGTACAATAAAATAACAGAGGCTAGTGATGCAGGTATTTCATCCAAACCTGTAGATTTTTTTTGGTAATGATTCAATAATTTCATTAACGTCATTGACATTCACAGGTCTAAAAAACATAGTTTGTATTACAGGGTCCCTTGTGGTGCAGCGAATACTCAAATTATTGTCAAAAAAATCTAATAACTTTTCATGAATAGCCGTAGATAGATATTCCCAAAAGCAGCAGATTTTTTGGTAGTATTAGTTATTACTTTGCCGGTCGCATTGTTTACTATAGACCAAGCTGTTCTGTTTTTATTATTCGACTATTCAATGATGTTTTTGTAATGTTTTGCAATTCTATTTGTTTATTCACTTCTTTTTTCAGGCGTTTGAAATTTTAATTTTTTCAATGCCAAGCTTAGAAGTTTGGAAAACTGTGTAAAAAACAGTTCTGTATACTGTATCATTCGGATCATTAGAAGGGGGCCTGTAGATGTTTACAACGCAATATTTTTTTTATATGACAATGCGCCGCATTCGATTATCATTTCGATGCTTCAAGATTTGATGAGTTCAATAGAAATACATTCAGAAAATATTGTATTTCTGACAAAAATGGAAGCACCACCATTACTGTGTCCAGTACGAGAGAAGTGCGTTAAAGATTTGAAATATGCAATGAATATATTATCTAAGTCAGTGTCCTTATACCAATGCTCGCCAATCAACAGAAATGTTAAATTATAATTCGCTATGAAGTGTTCAACGGAATTAATTTTGTTGGACCGACATTGTATGTTGATATTCAATGTGTGTTTCACCCTCACTAAGACCATCAGTGTTATTCGCATGCGTTGATTCGGCGAGGCCGGTTTTGGAAAATTTTTCAAGAAAGTAAATCGTTGAACGGCTCACTCCTCAGACCAAATGTCAGGGTTTTATACTTCGTTCACATTTGAGAGAGGAAAGCTTACTTTAAATGAAGCAGATGTGTTATCTTTTCGCTACGATTCCTCACAAGTTAAGTTGATCTGTGGTGCTGATTTTTTCAGAAATGTTGAAAGAGTACTCTCCGTTTCGTTTGCAGAGAATCTAAATACGTGAAGATATCCCAGTTTTGGTACGGTCTTGATGTCATTCGTTCTGTTTCTTCCAATGATAATATTATATTTATGTCTGTCTTTATACGTCTGATTCCCTTGTCTAGACGATGATTTGCGTTCGTTTGCAGACAATTCAATTTGGTTTTTTGTCAAGTCTTTTTTGCTCTGATGGTTGTTTTGCCCGGAAGATATTATCTCAGGGCACTTGACCTTGGGGGAGGAAGGGGAGGGAAGGCGCTTCGCCCTTAATCACTTCATGATTAGCAGCGATCGCACGCGTTTATATGCATATTTAGTATCAGCATTGCATCCGTGCGGAGCCGGGGCGGTAACAAGTTAGGTATAATTCAGTAAGTATAAACACGTCTGAGAAACAGGTATTGCGGTTCTATGAAGTATGACTTCAATAAGATATACCTCTTCAGTGCCTCTCAGAACTGTATTTGTACATGTGTACTGGTAGTATAAAAAAGTATGCATTGCAACAATATCTTATTTATATGTTTGGAAACATTTCACGAATATATTACTTAAATATTATTGAATTTTGAATTGGATGTCTCTTCATAATATTTTTGAAAGAATAACATTTTTTGATTTTCTAAACTGGTTGATTACTTTATTCCATACAATAATACAGTCTACTTTCGACAGTGTTCCTTACATTATTGAAGATGTCCGGAGTCAGAAATCGGCATTCCCGAATAATTCTCTGTCGCAGGTCTTCTTGATTTGTAGAATTGATTAAATCAGTAGTAAACGTTTCGAAATGGACAACACTGTTAGTTTTTCTGCACTGGTAATTTTTGTTGAATATAGTTGTCGCAGAACAAAAAGTAGATAGTTGGCCACTGTCACTTCTTCGCGAGTAATCATTATTCAGTTATCCTTGTTCACTATATTTCAACGTGGTATATTCTACTGAAGAAAGAATAGAAACTGTTGCAACCTGTTATCGAAATAATAAATGTGCTAAAGGTGCTGCAAGAATTCATAATACGAATCATCCGGACTTGAGCCATAAATACGTTAAACATTTAATGGATAAGTTTCGAACTTCAGGTCCTGTTCACAACAGAAAACATCCAGTCTTTTCTGAAATGACGGAGTTGAAGTTGCAGTTTTAGGACATGTACAAATGGATAATCGACAATCTATTAGACAAGTGGCTAAAGCGTCTGGTGTATCAGCTTCTAGTGTTTTTCGGATTTTGAAAGCCTACAAATTCCATCCTTCCGAAATAAGGTTACTTCAGGAATTAAACGAAGATGATCCTGATCATCTGAAATTGACCAATAACCCAAACCTATTATACAATACATGTTTTTCAGACAAAAGTTCTTTCATGTTGAATGGTGAAGTGAATAGACATAATTGTCGTTACTGGAGTGATGTGAATCCTCATTTGGTGATGGAAACGCATTCACAAACTCCACAAAAATTGAATGTCTGGGCCGGCATCCTTGGTAATCATATTGTTGGACCAATCTTCATTGAAGGTAATCTCAATGGAGACACATACTTAAACCTATTACAAGACTGTGTAGATTCTATGATTACACACATTTTAAAAAATTATGACAATTTAGTAGAAAATGAAATAACATATCAGCAGGATGGTGCATCATCACATTTCGATGTTCGGGTAAGACCGTTTTTGGACGAACGTTTGCCAATGCGTTGGATCGGCAGAAGGGGTCCAGAGGAGTGACCAGCTACCTGACCTGACCCCCTGATCTCACACCCATGGACTTTTTCTGTAGGGACACCTGAAGTCAAAAGTGTACTCTACTAAGCCTACAAATCTAGAAGACTTGCGACAGAAAATTGTTCGGGAATGCCAATTTCTGACTCCGGACATCTAGATTACTGTACGGAACGCTTTCGAGAGTAGACTGTATTATAGTATGGAACTAGATGGAGGTCATTTTGAACACTTCATCCGCTGATTGTCTTGCCATTGATATCACTCTTGTTGATTTCCTCAATAAAATGAGCGACAGCGATTTTCTGTTTTTTCTTCAATAAAACGTTCAACATTTAATTTCTCAATAATGAATGAACTAATTTCGAAAAAAATTACAGAAATAATAGAGGGACAAAAAACCTTTCAGATGATGTATCACTCAACCCCTAATGCCATTGAACAAATAACAATTTAGGTGTTCTTTGAAATTTTCAATTACACGTTTCTGACTTACAGAGGGGGGGTACAGTTTTTGTTGGAACGCCCTATTCCTTCTCAAGATAGTTGATGAATATTACACCACGTACATCCCAAATAACGAGGCTATAACCTTTCCAGCCGATTGTTGTGTTTTCGGGCGCTTTGGAAGAGGTTCTCCAGTTGCTCTCCACTCAGATGACGTTTTTTTTATTCAGGAGTGGAGTGATGAATCCATCCATTGTCACAAATCGACACAAAAATGTCGATTTGATATGTTTAAACATAGCCAAACTCTGCTCAGAATCATCAAGACGTTCTTGTTTAGGGTCAACAGTGATCTTGCTCGGCATCCACTTTGAACAGAGATTTTTCACAGTCAAATGCTCATGCAATATGAAGCCAGCCCTTTTTTTTATATGTTTATAATGTCAGGTAACTCACGCAACTTCACTCTTTGATCATTCAAAACGATTTTGTGGACCACGGTTGAAGTCAGCAAACTGATGTTTAATTGGTGTTTCTGATGGAGCGCAGTCCCATCAAGAAATGAGTTGAATGTCATGAAATTTCAACAGCTTTCTTGGTAGGTTCATACTACATGAAAAAGCGGTGAATGCTTGACTAGCGCCATCTATTTGTTAGACCCATGACGTTTCAACCCACGTAGTATACCGAAAACAAAAAATTGAAATGGAAAACAAATGCCAAAAAATATCTTCAAGCAATAAACGCTACAGTAGAGGGGCAAAAAACAGTAATGAAAGTGGTCAGATATGTTAACAATATACGACTTATTTTTATCAATTTACCGAAATGGTTGAAATAATTTCATTCATTATCTGTTCTTTATATTTCAGTATATTTCACAAATAGCAAACTAATCAATGGAATACTAATATTGTTATGCACTGTACTATATGGATATAATTTGGGATACATTTTTGGAAACAGTTCAGAAAGGTAACTCCAGAAAGTGTAAAAAATGAGATGTTTTATGTGTGTAATTAGTTATACCCATCGAATCACTGTTATTGTGAATACAAGATTGATCCCTTTCCTGAGACGATGAGTGTTCAGTACGTGTCGTCTGATTCACGATAGAAAACACATATTGAAAACATGTGTTTTCTACTGGTATTTCTCACTTCGCATAAGTTTTGACTTTTCAGGGTTGTCATCGCTGTAACTTATCGAAATGAACTAAACGTTATCTTTTTCTCGCCTACTCTTCAATCATTTTTCTATTGTAGTGATTGAAAATAACCAAAAAATGTAAGGAAATACGAGATGTTAAAATAACATGCCGATATTCAAAGAGGTTGATTATGGATACAGTTAAATGAAANTATATTTTTCAAAATAAAGTTTGTGAACATCAAATCGTGAGGTGTAGTTTTTGAAAAAATATTTTAGCCTTTGAAAGCTTTTCACAATGTTTGTATCAAGATGGAGAAGTAGAAATCCGGAATGCTTTTTCCCAAAAAACTATTCTCCCCTAAAAAAATTATCCAATACCATTTTATTGTGATGTTATTTTGAAATATCAATTCATTTCACTGAAAATGTGCAAGTTTGCCCTTTTCACAGCTCTATAGAGTTGTCTTTTACAAAATTTTTGCAGACTATAGAATGTGAAAGTGATACCTAAAAAAACAAAAAACGATGAAAAATATTTATTTTCCTTAACGGTTTCCATTTCATTTAGGTGGGATATTTTTGAATGAGTAGGTACCTACATTTGTTTAGACCATACATGATACAGTTTTGTTAAATTCATTGATAATGTGTTATCAAATATACAATCATGTTTTATCTGATGTCTTATCTCTCAAATTCCCCGGTTCAGATCTAATCATGATTTCACCAATAGTTTTAGTCATGATAATTCAACAGATTCAATTCCACTGTCAACACTGTTTCGAAAAAATTATACTCACTTCCGGCGCCAAAAATTCAAACTATCGAACAAAAACGCAGCTACTAACCTTTCCATAGCGAGCTAACTCGATGTGTTTCCTTTTCCACATACTGATAATATTTCCTGGACCACATATCAAAACAATCAAGCCTGTCACTTCGAAACACAACCGCAAACTGAAGAAGTTATGATCGAATCCACATATAAATAAATATTACAGCATTTCAGGGAGTGCGTTTATTTGGATATAATGTATTCATGACGAGGCACGCCCTGAAGTCGAGTGGCAACCAACCTTACAAACACTAAACTATATATTGCTACGAGTATACTACAGCAGTTGGAGTGAGAATTCGATCCGGACTTCTACAGGGTGATTCAAAGTTTAGTTGGTGAAAAATGGTTATAGGCAGGAGATATCACATATAAAATGAAACCTAGGGTTATTACCTAGGGTTATTACAGTATGAGATCTCATAGGTTAATTTCAATAATGAAACAAATAACTTTTCAGGTTGTGAGGAATCATGAATGAATCTGCAAAATTTTCAAACTCCAACGTTTTTCTTCGCCGCACCGACAATTAAAAGTACCAACCTAGTACATTTTGGGTTTCTACTACTAGATCATTATATACTCTATACTCGAAAGTAGATGTTTTGGATACATTTTTTCCCGTTAGTATATGAAAAAACGGTGAATGTTTTTACTGCTGTTTTCACTTGGTTTTTTTTTCTGTAGAAGTGGAAAACCCCAAAATTAGTTAATTCCTTTTTGAAAATATGGCCCGTTCAGTTAACCGAAAATCTTATCTTATGTATACTTATGAATGCGAAAGTTACTCACTTATCAGTCACGCATTTATCTCTGTTTCTCCGTACTGGTGAGTCCTAGGAAACTAAAACTCAGTATATAGGTGCTTCTTAGGTCTTAAATGCGCAATAAGAAAGGATTTTCAAATATTCCAACTGGGGCGTTCCTCGTGAGGGTACAAGGGGGGCGTTTACATATGAAAATTACCTTTTCATCACTGTTTTTCTGTTTCACTATATTTTCGGAGGCTGAAATTTTGTTTGAAGGTTTGTTTTATGTTGTATATTTGCCATAAGGAAGGAGTTTTGAATATTCCAACTGTGGCACCAGCTACGGGGAAAAAGGCGCACCCATAAAGTAAAATAATCTTTTCATCACTGTTTCTGCATGCCCTTCAATTTCCACTGGGTGAATATATATTTAGTAGCACCTGTGCGGAGACGGGGCGGCTTGCTAGTTAACTATATAATTGTATTGATANGTGCGGAGCCGGGGCGGCTTGCTAGTTAACTATATAGATGTATTTATATTTTTTGAAAACTGTCATTGTGACAAAAGAAAATGTATCTCTTACCGTTGTGAAGTTTTTGTACAAGGAATGAGTTTATCGTCTTCAAAAGTAATTCAAAAAGGTGCTGAGGATGAAGTGTATTCATCTGAAACTGAAGATTGAAAGTTTTCCATTTGAGTGAAATTTAATACCAATACTCTTTCACATCCGTTTCAATTCCATCACGAATGTTTCCAAGACAAACTGAATGGAAATTTATTATCAATATTATTTTATATATAACATTGGGAAGCTTTTCTGTGAATGAAATATGTTTCACTTCCATGACAAATATTTGCTGTACAGACTGAATGTGAGAAAGTGTTTTTGTATGATTCGATTCAGATATATTTGAAAGCAGTTGTTAGGGATTGATTTTATTTCAAATATGTATCTGAAAAACATTTCTTTGCATGGTTTCTACATCTTTGTGAAGACTTTCTGTGCTTTAATGGCATGAACAGAAAAGAAGAGATATGTGACCAACTAATTTTTTCCCAACTATTGAAAAAGAAATCTTCAGCATCATAAATAGCATGAAATCAGAGGTATATGGGGTAGATGAAATCAATATAACTATTATGTATAAAAATTTATTGTCCTTTCATTATTACGGTACTAACTCACATAATAAACGGATGCATAAGTCAAAGTTATTTTCCTGGTGCATGGAAATATGCAAAAATTATAATCCTACCAAAAAATAATCAACCACAAAATTTGAATGATTTAAGGTCACTAAGTATTCTTCCGACATGTTCCAAGATTATAAAGAAAGTAATGGAAAATCAAATGCGACACTTCATTGATCCTTACAATATTTCGCCACATAAACAGTGTGGTTTTGGAAAAGATGCTATAGATAAAAATGAAGCCACAATTTTAATTCAATTGGATTATTTAAAAGCATTTGACAATATCAATCATAAAATGCTTTGTGCTATATTACCTTTTTTTGGGTTCAGATAATAGATTACAAAAAGTACAGATTAATGATATTGCAACATTTATCAAGAAGTTGAAGTCTTGTAAATATCACCTTGATGCAGATGACTCTCAAATATATTTATCTTTCAAATCTTCAGATATAGGCCAAGCAGTAACCGATACAATTTTGATCTAGATACGATTTTAAAAGTTTTCACTGTTCATATGTTGAAAATCAATACAAACAAATCAGTAGCTATCATCTTTGGAAGTGATAGCATCAGGGGAGGAGTAAAAAAATTCAGATTGAAAATGAGAGACTCTGAGATAAAATTTAGACCGTATTGAAAAAAAATTGGGGTTAATTTCAGGTAATAAACTGAGATTTCATGAACATATAACCTACATACTTAAAATTGTTTATTCATCATTGAAACTCATATGTCTCTATAGACAATATTTGGATGTAGATGTCAAGAAAATGCTATGTGATTCATTAGTTTCATCCCATTTCAACCACTGTAACGCTGTTTATCATTCATGTTTAGACAAGAACAACAGGTGTCGCATACAAAAAGTTCAAAACTCTTGCATCAGGTTAATATGAGGTATCAGAAGAAGATCTAAAATTTCACACAAAGTAGAAGATTTGAAGTGGTTGAATATGAATAATCGTAGACCTTTTCATGCATATTCTTTAAAATGATAAATATAGGAATCCTCCTTACTTATATGAACAATTGTGTAATAGAACAGATATCTATAACTCAAATTTGCGTAAAAAGAGAGTGTTAAACGTTCCTGTACATGAAAAGGAATTATTTAAATGATCTTCTTCCTATAATATCTCCTCCACAATAAATTATCTCCATAAATGGAAAAAAAATGTCTCAACATGTCAGAAACTGTTTCTGAAAGTATATTTAAGCAGCATCTGTTCAGTATTCAGAATAACTAGATCTGAGGCGAGAATCCTGAAAAAGGTTTCAGCTATTCATATATCTCTTTATCCATATTTTACCTTCTCTTTTCTTTTCTTTTCTATCTTCTTTTCTTCTCTGTAACCCCTAATAGAATATTTTATTTTTATACATTTTCAGCATTGGTGACAGAACATCTCAAATTGAAGCCAGTAGTGAAAGATTTCACATAGGTGTACAGTGTGTATTATAGATATTACCCATGATTGAAGATGAAAATACTCCATTCCTTTCTTAACAACAACCAAGTGTATTCAGTGAGTATTTTTCCATTAAAAGGAAAAGTTACCCTCTTTTGAAGTTATGGAAAAAACATTACGTTACGTAACTTGAAAACTAAATTTCCATGGAGTAAGAGGTATTTCAACAGATCGTTTTCAAGCCGTAGAAGTATGTTGTGCCTCAGGGATTAGTTTTAGAGTTATTATTTGCTCTGATTCATATGAATGACTTACACAAATTTCTGTTGCCTGACAAGTGTGTTGTATTTATTAACTAACGATATCACCTTGATTTATTCACAAGACAATTTTGATGAAATGAAATATCTGTCATTGGCTGCTCAGAATATAGTTATTCTATAAACTCTTTTAGAAAATAGTTGTCGAATTTTCGGGAATCATAACTGACATTGAACTAAGTCAGAAAGCTCTTGTTGAACAATCGAGCAACACACTTTCTTGTATTTTTTCAATGCGTCAATTAACACAATGTTGAGTTCAATCATCTGGAAATTTTCACTTCGCTTCATTATATTTCTATATCAGCTATGACATCTTAATCTGTGGTATCTTCCTATATGCTACTCAAATTTTTCGCCAACAGAAAAATCAATCAGAGATTTAGCGACTTGCAACTTTAGGAAACTGTCAGCCATTATTCATTGAATAGGAAATTATGCCTATACCATCATTAAAATAATAACATCTCCTTCTGGAAATCCAAAAACTAACAGAATCCCTAGTCAGACACTCTCAAGTTCAACACAAGTGGTGTACAGCCAATTAATAAATTTTATTATTGAAAGATAATGAAAAATAGCCTGCATCTCGATAAACACTGGCTTTTCAAAAAAGTCCTACACAATGAATAAAATCAGAAATGATGTACTGAACCAATTGTGTTAAGATATTATTTCAATTCTAACGCATAAAAAAGTTTGGGTGGTTTTATGGGTTTAATACCCCTAAATTTGTTACGGGCTGAACAGATTTCGTGATTTTATATGAAAAAAAAAAGCTCTTATGATAAGAGAGTCATATATCCATTTCCATTACAAAATCTTGAACAGTTCATGAAATATTGAAAAAAAATTATTTCAATTTTGTACTGGGCTGTAACTTTTTCTGTGCACATTTGCATTGAGGTAAGTTATATCAAATCGAGTTATTTTTGACCTACTGTTTTGTTACATCCCATATATTATATATCTCTGACCATCATGTGGTCAGAGTGGACCAAACTGAACACTTTGAAAGGAAATCTTCTGTTTTCAAACTAGATAGATGAAAACTGATGGCTGTATCTGGAGGTCGAAATGACAAACTTAAAGTTAAAAACAGCACGTTGATATCTGTCATCGTTTCTGAGTTACAGCACATTTTTCGAAAACGTGAATCTTTTAAATACTTACAGAGCTATTAGGTTTTTTCATGAAGGCTTTGAAACGCACATTTCGATTAAGTAGGCTTTGGAAGACGCGGCGATAAAATAGAAAGAAATCATTCAGTAGTAGTTATAAAATGTTGAGGAAGCTTTTCACAGCATAGCATAGTTTCAATAAAACTGCTAACAAGATATACTATATCAGTTCAATAGGAGTGAGAGAAGCAAAACTTTGAATCACTGCCGCTTCCAATTCGTATCTAGAATTGGTCGGCAATTACAAATCAAAATTTGACCACTACCAGTAAAGATTTGCATTCTATGTTACCGCCGCATAGTCCAAAGCCTAATTGATCAAAGTGTACATTTCAGAGTCTACATGAAAAACCTAAAAGCATTGTATTTCATAGAGCAAATCTAGCAAATCATC